ACGCCCAAGTTTTGAAAAATGACTGTCCAGTAGATACTACTCACAGTCCTTTTGTGGGTCCATTAATTAGAATGAGCAGACGCGCAACGAATACCGGTGCCATTGGCATAGATCGTCCTGTGGCACGTTTATATGACTCCTCCTGCTGCTTCATTGTACAACGTTCCCCGACAAGACATAATATCTGTTGATGAAAGATTTCGGGATTCTGTACAGAAGTAGTCCCAATGCCAGGCAGAAGAACTATGAGTGAGGCAGCGGAGAAACTGACAAAAGAATTACCTTAAATACACCTGCAGCAACATGGCCAATATCTTCCACAGCCTACAGAGCCTTGATCACAGAGCAAAATAACACTGTTAACATCACTCACAACAACCTGGATAGTAGTTGTAGGCTTGAGTCCAACTTTAAGTATGGAAGCTGCGATAGCCCCAATTGTCCCCTCAAAGTTTTCCATAAAAAAAACCTGGACGGAGAATGCTAATAAAGACAAAGGCAGTTTGATTCAAGATTCAGTGAGTTGCTGAAGTATGGTTTTACTTACGTCCATGGAAGACCTCTAACACCCAGATCACGGATGTGATGCTCAATTCTTGCCTTGGCAAGTCGGTCCAGCGTAGCCTTATTGTCGTCTCTCTCGCCACCTCTTTCGACAGAAGAAAAGATGAAAGCTGAAACAGAAAACTCCAATGCAAGATCTGCAAGCACCTTGAAAGGACCTGTTAGCTCACTCACGAGAGCGATATGCAGATCCCACACCTTGCCTTGAGATTCTTCGTGATCGGCATTCGCACCTAGACCTGGAAACGCGAGGACACAAAACACCCCCCAGATACCTCCCTGTGACTTGGCATCCTCGAATATTTTACGGAGGGATGTTGCTGAATCCAGGTTTCCTTCAATGACAGATACGTGGCTATATGACGCGAGTGAAATTGCAGCCGGTGAAGAGGTTTTGCGTGTCAAGGCCAGGATGTGAAAATCAGGCTCCGAATCGGCGTGACTTGGGGCAGTTAAACCTAAGGTGTTTATTAGAGCCCTGCCCTGCCTCCCAGTGGCCCCGGTTACTAGAATGAGTTTGGGATTCATGACGGAGAGCGAATCAATGATGGAAGAACAGGATTGAAGACCGCTTATAATCCACTAAACATTCATAATTTCGGCTGTCAAAATCCTTCGATTCGTTACTCTCCTTCGACACTAAAACGGGTCGATTTTCGATTGAGATTCGGAATAGTTGAAACCCTAGTAGGCAAAATCATGGAGGTTCGTAGGTGTAACTAGTGGTGTCATTTTAAGTGCACGAAAGAGCTCGGCGCCGGCCCGTCCGATTTTCAGCCCTACCAGTTCCTATTCCTTTCGTTTGCGCCCTTCGTTCCCTAATGGCTTTTGTATTCTGTCCAAAGTAAAAACTGGTTCGTCATCCGCAGTAATTGAAGTTGGTCCCCAGGAATATCTCTCGCATGGAATTCTCTTCACATAATATCCACAAACTATAGACGCTTTTAACTCCTTGAAAGACCTTGACGCGGCGCGCCTTGGGAACTTGTAAAAACCAACTTCCGCCGACAATTTCCTGCTATCACCGCATCCATTCTCTTGGGATGCTCATCTATTTACCGATGCCTCTCATCCACGATATCGCAACGGTCTGCACCGAGTCGAACGGCGATTCCGACATATTTCGAGCGCTTGTCGGTCAACGCTCAGCGTCGATAGAGGGGATTTTCCGTGCGTGGCGCAGTCTTCAACCAAAGTAGACATGAAGGGCATTGAGTTCAACCATTGAACGCATCTCGGCAACGGGACGCTGCGGTATGGAGAGGCGTTTGTTCCGTAAAGTCCTGTCGGGTTGATTTATTTTCTTAACGCAGTGTCCCGTCTTTCACACAATCAGATAATCAAAGTCACCAGTCCCAGTGACTGGGAATCAACACTCCCAGACTGTACCCTCCAAATGCTGGGTGTTGGCTGTTTATCACTACAAGTTCCGCTATTCACAGGAACATGGGAATACCCAGCCTTGTGGGGACGCGGTAAGCATGAATTCATCTTCATCTGATAAGATGTCCTATGTATCTGATAATATTGGTTGCGAAAGACATACAATACTCTCAATGCTTGATGAAAGTTCCTATTGGTATGGTGCCTCTATGTATTCGAATTCTCTTACTTACGTATCCTTGCCAAAGACTCATAAATGACCCCCCTGGATGTCTCTTTTCTTTAGGCCCTGACTGTTTGGTTCTGCCCTATCAAAATCTCTTACAGTCGGTCCTCCGCCGGAATGACTACTCCTAGTACTCAATACGATGAAACTTCGGTTCCTGTCGGCCTTCATTCCTCCTCTTCCGGAGAAGAAAAGCATCCACATTCCGAGAAGGACTCTGATGTCGCTCGCGCGCCTGACGCCTCAATTAGGAGGAAACCAAAGCTACCTTTGGGTTGGAGGACTGCTATCCTGACATTGACTTGTTTATCTAGCTGTGGGTAATCCGTCCCGTTTACTCAAAGTACCCTTTTCACCCCGTTTACTGATACTCCGAATTTACTTGATATTTATAGTCGGAAACCACTGGTCGAATGTGTGTCTGCAGTTGATAGTTAAATATGGCTTGCACCATTAAACTGATTCGCTCGTTTTCCTTCCAAAGGGCCTAGTCGTGTACGTGCTTGCGAGCCTTACCGACATCTGTCGATTAATGCTAATCCGTATATCTAGAGCTCTCAAGACAACCATCGTACAAGAGCTACATATCAACAATTCTCAATTTGCCACTCTAGTGGCTTGCACCAACCTTGTAAGCAATTTTTAATCTTCCCCGAAACGCTCTATCTTATCATTTTATCATCATCATACCCTTTACACAGGTGAACACCTTCCTATGCATCTTCATCGGATTATGTATCGACAAATGGGGTGGACCTCTCTTCACCGCCATCATGGCCATCTTCCACTTCTCCGGAAGCATCGTCATGGCTGGAAGCGCAACGAACAACTTAAACAGCTACCCTGTTCTCATCGTAGGAAAGGCCATCGCAGCTATCGGGGACGGATCCTTAGATAACGCCCAACATAGGATATTCTCTACATATTTTGCTAGAGGAGGAGGGTTCGCATTTTCAATCGGGGCTATTTGGTGAGTGGTTTTCTTGAGCATAACGTTTCACCTTCATTGTACAAGCGGTATTGACCGTGGTGCTCATTATATGTGATCAGGGGTATCGCAAACCTCGCCCAATTCGCCGGACAATCCACCGCGAACATCATCACTGCCAATCTTGGAACATATGCTTGGGCACTTTGGATATCAACCATCATCGCGTTGTTCTCCGTTATATGTGCCGTCTCGGTCTACTTTTTGGATAAATGGCTTTTGGTCAAGTATCGAGTTACTGATCATACGGATGGAATGACGATGAAAGGACATGTGAAGCGCGGGGTGTTTAGTCTGAAAGCGGTGAAGGAGCTTCCTATTACTTTTTGGTGAGTTTGCGGAAACTTGAAAGGATTGATGGCCTGCAACTTATCCATAGGATTGTGATTTTGTTTTCGATTTTCGAAAATGCTGGTGTCCAGTCGTTTGTTTCTATTTCAACGTATGTATAGTATGCATCCCACGGCTAGGAATTTCTCTCTGACTTTTTCTCTTTAGCCAATTTGCTCAACAACGTCTCAAAAAAGGTGCTGTGATCGGCGGCTGGGTATCAAGCTTTTACTTGCTCCTCCCGGCATGTCTGACTCCCGTGCTTGGAGTCATTATCGATGTTTACGGGCAAAGGGTTTCATTTTGTACGCGTCCATCGGTTCTGCGAGTTTGAGCCACTGAAGCAAAAGAATCACGACAGTGCTCGTATCGTCGTTGATGTTCCTCATGTCGATGTTACTGCTCAAATTCTCTCATTCAATTCCTTCGTTTGGTGAGCCAAAGTTGTAAATTTCATGCTATTAACTTACCAATTCGATTCGCAGTGGCGGCATATGTTTTTTATGCTTTTGCTCAGGTGAGACGAACCGTGCGCTCAAACTGTATGTTCTTTGACAACACATACTGTACTCTCAGTGCGTAACTCCCGCCCCACAAGTTGAAATCATCCGAAGTATCATTACGGATCCTCAATGGTTTGCGACTGCTTTCGCTATCAAGAGTAAGTCATACTTAACATTGAATGATCTCTCTTCTCATTCTTACATACGACTCGACAGAATCTGTTGTCCAAGCTTCCATCGTCATTATCACTACTGCGGCTGGAAAACTTCAGGACGATTCACCCAATGCCTCGCTAGACCCTGCAGTCACGCTGTGGCTCATTTACGCGTTCATCTGTACAGGAATCTCCGCAGCCCTCTGGATCACAGCCAATTGGCTTCCAGATGTACTACCGGCAGCAAGATTGGCACAAGTCAAGCCGAGCAAGCTGGAGCATGAGGTGGAAACGATGTTAAGAACCAAACGGGGATCGATACAACCGAATGGCCACACGGTGGATGAGTCGCACATTGAGGGTATAATAAGCAGCGACGACGATTCAAACGTTCAAGAAAAGATGCTTTTGGCGAATGAGAAACTACTGAAGAGGGTTGAGCCAGGAAAGATGATGGATCGACTGAGATGGGTGTTCTTAACAGCTTCTGTGGGCATTATTGGGCTGGGATGGATTATATTTGGGCTCGGAGTAGAATGGGGCGTTCACGGAAATGTTATTGCTGGAACCACAGGGGAGTGAGCATGTATACTTAGTAATTTTTGTAGGTGGAGATTGAATCGCCAGACAAATAATTTTAGAGAAGCGCGTTTCAGCCATGTTATCGGGCCATTTACAGAAGAGAGCGGAGAGCAGAAATTACATATTGAGCGCTGAGTACTAGAAACTTACTTGGGATGGCAAGAAACACAAAATGGAAAGAGACGGAAGCGGATCAGACTTATTCTGGCAGTGTGCAATGGGTAGTCGGATTGGACCAAAAATCAACCGCACCTGGTCTTTTGCACCAGTGGACACACTGGGAATTGAACCCAGCACCCCCCGCAAGCATTGTAATGCTAAGCGGATGTGATAACCAACTACACCATGTGCCCATTGATTGTCTGCCTCCTGCAGCCCCCTCGAAGCCCGCCAAACCAACGGAATGGTAGATGAATAGATCTGCCACAAGGAACGGTGACTCGGTGACTGCGAGAACAGCCTTGTACCCCAAACAACGCTCAAAGACCCGGACTGCTACGAGCGCAAGATATATTTCTACTGCGCCGTAGTCTTCGCTGTCATATCCTGTGTAATAGGTAGAATGCTCGTCCGATGAGCCTAGCTTTACCATCCATTGGTATCGCCCGATATTTCTGAAATCATTATCCATTAACATTTCTATAATTTCACTAGAGAGAAGGCGAAACTTTAAAAAATTGGGACTACAGAGCACAGCAGCAATCAATAATAGAGGAAGTAGGTTGACGACGCTTAGCACGGTAGATGGGCGACGCGACGCAATGTGATACGATACGATTATTTTCCTTTGCTAGCCTTGTCCAAAACTACAGTGAAACACAGTCCGCGTCAATCTCAGAAATAAAAGCAAACAATTTGGGGGAGAAACGTACTAATCTCATGTGCAACTTCACTGAACTCCGTTCCTTGAACCTCGATCGCGATACCATCCAGTCTCTTTCGTAACGCATCTTTCGAAGAGGCGAACAACATCTTGTTCTTAATCTTTGCAGTGTCGGGCGACCTTATCGAAAGTAATCAGCCAGCGATTATAGACGTATATGGATCTGGCAATATTCAGGCCACAACTCACCACATGTAAAAACAAAGCTTGTTCCTGATGCCACCTTCATCCGTTTTATACTCGAAATCATACACCGCCCATCTACATTCCAATTCTGGAAGGTCCGCAATGAAGTCGTCATATTCTTTCGATTCGGATTTTTTATCCACAACGATTTCTGTGTTATTACTGTTGATGTTGAAGATGATGTATTTCATCTTTTTGCCCAATTTGAGGGCTTGATATACTTCGAGGCATTCGTTGTTGACACTGATACCGGAGGCGGCCTAGACAGATTTGGAATGATCAAGTGTAGATCAAGCAAATCAGCGATGAGCTAAGTGGAAGCAAAGTGGAAAAACGGTACCATGGTGGATTGTGGAAGAGAGATGAAAGGTGGAAACAAACAAATTGCGAAGCTGTGTCACTACCGTCGGCATATTTGGAACAATTCACGTGGTTTCGAGATAATGATAATGATAGTTTGATAAAGCTATACTACTTAATAAAACAGTAAAATAACAAGAGAGGAATGATATTAAATAATACAATGAGCCTATTCCTCAGAATCATCGTTGTCCTGGGTCACCTTCGCAGCTTGCGGCGGACGACGAGTGTCTGCCAAAATAAAAAACAATCAGACTTAAGATTCACTCACTGCCCAAATCACTTACTCTTTCTGGTCGCCCGTTTCTTCACTTGCGCTTTCTTACCCTTGGCACGCTTCTCCAACTCCTGGTCATCCTGTCCTTGTCGTCGATGCTCCTCGAGGATCTAAAAAAGGAACCAAGTAAGACGGCATATCAGACGCTTCACGGATGAAAACCCACATCCTCGAAATCCTTAATCTCCTGGGTCATATCATTTTTACTCTTCGCTTGTCGAGCCTGTACATACATCTCGGAACTGGCACAAAGACAGAAACACAAACACAGCCACTAACCTTGTTCAGGATCTCTGTAAACCTGTCGTAAACGCCCTTCTCGAACAACTTGTCTCTATAATTCGGTAAACCATCCACGAGCTTCTTGACAGATTTCTCCGATTTGTAGGGAAGTAGAGACAAACAAAAGGCAATATCGCGCCACTGCCGATGGTCATCAGGACAAGTTCGGAATCGCTGGCAAAGTTTATCGACGATGTTCTCGGCTTGTTTTTCCTGTTCGAACCCTAAGTCAATTTGGTAGAGGAACGAAGATAGCCACGGACCTTTTCGATGAAAGTGAATATAAACTTGAGCGTCTTTTGGAACATGTCCTCATCTACAGCGTGGTCGCCAGATGAGAGATGGCTGATAACTGTGTAAAGAGTAGGTCAGGTCAAGTTTGGGTGAAGAAAACTGCCGCCATACCATCGGGTAAATTATTGTATACCGCATTATCCTTGGTGGAGAGCTCCTGGAAGAAAAGCTTCGCAAGATCCGCAATCCGCGGGTCCTTGTCCTCTACACACTTAGCCATCTCTCCAAGCTGCCCCTTGACCTTGATCATCCCGTTTAGAATCAAATGTGTGAGCACCATAAGAGTGTTCTTCTTCACGATCGGATCCTTGTCAGAAAGGCCTTTGTATAGCTCGTCGCTGTTCTCGTCAATGATACTGCTGAATGACACAGCAACATCACCGAGGGCGATGACGATGTTGCTTCGAATGGCAGCATTCTTGGAAGTCTTAAGGATACTGAATAGCAATTCATGACGTTCCTCGCAGAATCGTGAACTGATACAGAGAAATTTGCTAAATGAGAGGCTGGCCGCCGCGCGAAGGGTGGGATTCTAAAAGCTCCATCGTCAGTGAGATAATAAAAAAAAAGAATAGGCGGCATGCCTTGTACAAATGAGGACTGCCAGCGATGCGGTGAAGCATAGGCCCATAGAGACCCAGAAGAGCGTCCGGGCCATATAGCATCTCTTGCTCCCGGACTTCTGAGATCTTCTCCCCAATCTCGTCCTCTGCATTCCCCGCCACCTGATCAAGCTCCTCGGCCTCTTTATTCGCAGTTTGTGGGCCGCGTGCAGCGTTGTCAGCTAGACCGAAACCAAAAAGATTAGTGGTACGACATCACTACATCCCAAGGGCCTCACCGGTTTTCTGTGCGTCCTTCTGCCTCTTCAACTCTCGTTCGACGACTTCGAGATAGGCTATCTGTTTGATGGCGACATGACCTACGACGAAAAGCACTTGAGCGAGCTCGAATGCATCGCCTTTATCTTGACCTCCAGCGCCACTCTGAGACGATATAGGTTCGGGAGGGTCTTCAGGTGGATCCTCGTCCATCGCGTCTGGATCCTGCGGTGCAGCCTCTGCAGTTTGCCTGGGAGTGAACGCTCGCACCGTCATCGTCTTGATGATGTCGGTACAGAGTGCATCAGGTTGCTGGCCTAGAGCGTAGATGGTGTTAATAGCCTGTTCAGCAAGACCGAACCAATCTTTGGAGCGACACGGGCGTTCAATGACCTCTCGCATTTTACTGAAAATCGGGCTGGTCATCTCGATCCGCTTGGTCTGCGCGACTGAGCCTTGAGTAACGAATTTAGAACCAAACTACGAATTATAATCGCCCAACTGACCTTTGACCTTCTTCATGCTACCAGCAAGGCGCTGCAGGGCGACACAGGTGTATCGTGCCAAAGTGAGATCGCGCTACGTCCGTTGATCAGTCTGACTATTATGCTTGATGGGAAAAGAACAACCTTTCCTAAAGCGCCCAGTCCAACTTTGAGCATGATATCCACTTTGTCGACCAATATACTACGCTTAGCTAGAGCAAGCATCCCCAAAATGATAATGGCGCCGCGACGTTGCGGTTTTGGTATTGGGGTTTCGGCCTCTGCGAATGCAACATAAGGTACTAACCAAAAAGCTGAAGAGGACACTTACTGAAGATCTGCCATAGCTTGTTGATCACATCCTGATGTACTCGGTCATCCTCCATCATCGTCCGCATCATTTCCTCCAAGCTTGTTAAATCTGCAAGCGAAGCATCGAAAGTCCTCCTAAGTTGGTTGAGAGCGAGAACAATACATCTACGTTTAAACACTCACTCTATCATATTTCTCGATATCTCGCTGACTTGCTCCTTTCCAGTCTTTAGGTCGGGATTGGGGCTAAAGAACATCTCTTGATAGCACTCCAACAACCGCGCACGAACTCCTTTCAGTTCCTTGCCATCTTCTGAGGTTGCGTTGTTATCTTTGGACCAGATGAGATGAAGCATTTTTTTGATCCCGTTCTATGAGTTTAAAAATCAACACAAACGAAATATCGCACTTGAATTGTACTAACTTTGGCATCCCGAAGTTCAAATGCCCGCGCAACTCTGAAGAAATCCATGGCTTCCAAGACCTCAGCCTTGCTCTTGGAACCAAGCATCTGCTCCACGATTACCATGGCATCTTCTATGTAACCAATGAATCGCAAGGCATCAGCATAGTACTTCTTCTCCCGACGAAGCTGGTCGGTCTCGTTGCTTGTAAGTTTCCTGATCGCTTCGTTATCGGTGAAAACGTCGAGATTCAGCTGAGATTTGCGCGGTTTAAGTGGGGCAGTTTTCGTTTTCTTCGGTTGTCCTTCTTCGTCTACATCCATTGAAGCGTCTTCGTCGTCGTTTTCGTTCTCCTGTTCCTCATCAGTGCTCTCGTCACGGTCTCTTTCGTCTTCATCATCCACATCCATACTGTTTTCAGCTCTGTCGACCAAAGTAAATAACGCGACGATTATCGTTAGTTGTAGTCTGACCTTTTCTTCCCCTTCTTAGTTCGTTTCGTTGCTTCAGGTTGTACATCTTCCGGCCCTTCTGTTTGATCTGGTTCGAGGGCTTCAACAGCGTTTTGGGCCGCCTTTTCTATCGCCTCCAATTCAGCTATCGTTTGGTCGGACGCTGCCTTGAAAACGTCGTAAGATAATGTTCCGCCCTGCTTGCGATAGTACGGATGGGTGTGAAGAAGCTCGATGAGAAGCGAAACTGCGTTCTTGCGAACGGTAGCTATTTTGTCTTCGAGGGCCTCGATAGCAGCTTTGGTCACTTGTAGTCGCTGTTTGGGATACGGGACCTTCAAGCGACACAACCTACCGAGCACGACCAACACTCTTGCTCGCACATAAGAGTTATTATCTCGCAGTCGCTCAACAAGAAGGTCATAGATTCCTTTGATGGATTTTTCAGCCTTCTCTCTATCATCTGTGGTTTCGAGCGACGCGTCTAGATCGATTATAATGAATCCCATTGCCTCTACTACAGCTTGACGCATCGCATAAGCCTATATCATTACTTCAGTTGCTAACAATAGTTTTAGAAAACAGCGCACGAACTTC